ACCGCCCCCCCCCCCCCTCAGTTCCGTTCCCCCCCCCCAGCCAGTCGCCGCTCACCTGCAGCGCCGCCGCGCAGTCTAATGACGTCACTTAGCGACGCCCCGCCCCCAGGCAGCCCCGGGGTCCAGGGAAAGGCCGCTCGGACTCTGGCCCCACCCACCGCCGCCTCCAACGCGTGGGGCTGAGTGCAGGGCGCCTGCGCCGGAGGTCCAGCGGGGGAAAGGGTACAAAACCGAAAGTAACCAAGCATCTTCTCTTCCGGCTGGGGGCGGGGAGGCGGAGGCGAGTTCAAAATTAAAGTGGGCGTTGGGCTGTCATTCCAGCCCTGGAAGGCTGAGTCAGGAGGATCGCAAATTCGAGCCCAGCCCACGCAATTTAGCAACTTAGCGAGACCCTTGTTTCAAAACAATAAAAAAGGGTTGGGGGTCTAGCTCAGTAAGGAGGCCTAGGTTCAGTCCCCATTACTGTAAATGGTCAGGTGCCCTCCCTTTACCTTCATCTCGTTATTACCTTCATTTCACAAATTAAGAAAGTTACGGAGATAGATTGTGAACTGGTCAAAGGCCGAATCCCGTGCTCCTGTTTGCTTCTGTGTCCCCAATACCCAGCACAGTGGACCCATTGAGAGGTGCATGAGGGACAGTGGGCCGGCCTGCAGCTGAGGGGTGGAGCCCCTGTCTGGAGAGCATAAGGCCCTGCTTCCATCCCCAGCACCTCAACTGAAAGAATGAATAGGCAAGAGGAAAGAGGACTCTTTCTGTATGGACACTGCATCCAAATCTTCTTTTCTGGCTTTCAGACTAGATAGTCGGAAGTCTGTTGGACATTCTGAGTCATCTCAGCCATTTTAAACCCGCTTGCCTGTAAATCTGCTTATCCCCAGTGAATGGCACTACCACCCGTCCTGCTGATCCAACCAGGAATCTAAGGAGTCCCCTTCTTCCTGATTGCCTAGAGCCTTTGGCATTTAAGGTAGTTTGCCTCCTGTCTCTCAAATCTTTTTTGTTGTGGTTTTGGCTTGCTGAGGCAGGGTCTCCCTATGTAGTTCAGGCTGGCCTAGAATTTACTATTCCTCCCAGGCTGGCCTCTAACTCCCAGGGATCCTCTTGCCTCAGCCTCCTGAATGCTGGGATTATAGGCGCACACCACCATGCCAGCTCAGACGTCTTGTTCATCTTGCTTTGGCCACAATTCATGCAAGTTCTCTCAGCAGGACTTGTCCAGCAATTTCCAAATTATTGTGCCTCTAATGCATTCTCCACCCAATAAAAAAAAAGTGATTTTTAAAAAATTATTTGCTCCTGTCTTAACCCATTAATATTTAAACCTACAGTGACTTCGCACTGTTACTAAGATATTGCTGATGTCCTCATGATGGCCTATAGAACCCTGCAACCTTGACCCTTCTACACTTGTACCTTGATCGTGGGTTTCTCAAACCCATGATGTCTCTGAAGGGTTCGGGTTCTCGTCCCCTCATTGCCTGGCCAGTGTCCATTCATCACGGAGGTATCAACTTAGTGTCCTCATCTCTGGAAAGCTTTTGTGAGCCCACAAAAGTTAGGGGGCAGCACCTTTGCAATCCCTTTGCACTCTGTTCTTCCCCCTCAAGAGAAGGTGCTTCCCACGGTGCTGTCCAGTGTCGACTCCCCGCCATCCCTGCCTACTTCTGCATAGCAAAGGCTATGTCTGTCTTTCTGCGTTCAATTCACGGGGCTGACGCGGTGGCTGATGGGAAGTTTAACAGACGTTTAGCGAATCTGTGAAAGTTGATCGCTGGTTGAGGTAAGTGCCCAAGGTCATACAGTGACAGAAGGACACAGCAGTTGAGCCTTTACCTCGGGTCTCCTTGCACTCATGGTGATCCTGCCTCAGCCTCCTGAGTGCTGGGATTATAAATGTGTATCACTGTGCCTGGCTAAGAATATTAAAAATGAAGTAAAAATTATCTTTTCTCCAAAAAAAGAAAGAACCAAGTAAGGCTGAGTTGCGCTTCCCCCAAACTCCTATGTGGAAGCCCTAACCCTCAAATGATTGTATTTGGAGACAGCTTTTAGGAGGGGAAGGTCGAATGAGGTCACAGGGATGATGTCCTGGTCTGACGGCACTGATGCACTCAGTGGTTAGGGTGCTTACCTGGCATGCATGAGGTCCCAGGTTTGAGCCCCAGCAATGCAAAAAAGAAAAAGAAACTAAAAATAATAAAGCTTATAAAAGGAAATATGATGGGCTGAGGATTTGGCTCAGTGGCACTGCACCTGCCTCACAAGTGCAAGGTCCTGAGCTCAATCCCTAATGGGGGCGGGGTATGGGAAAATACCTTTGAAAACTTAGGACAAAGATTGTTTTTATACCAGACCTAGAGGGCATCCATCAATCAGAAAGAAAAATAATAAAATAGACTTCATCAAAATTAAAATCATCATGCCTATCATCCTAGCCCTCTGGGAGGCTGAGGCAAAAAGAATGCAAGTTCAAGCCGAGCCTAGGCAACTTAGCCACTTAGCAAGACCATGACATGAATAGGCCTGGGGATGGCTGGCTGTCAGTGTGAAGATCCTGGCCCAATCCCCAGTACTGAAGAAAAAAAAAAGAGTTTTCTGCTCATCAAAAGACACTGATAATAAATTAAATAGCACTGAGGCCAGCCTGGGCTGCATAGTGAGTTCAAAGCAGCCTAAACTACATAGTGAGACCGTGACTAAAGGGGGGGGGGTTAAATAGCAAACTATAAGTTGAGATAAACACATTGGCAACACCTATATCTGATAAATGACTTACATCCAAAAATACATGTAATGCCCATGAATAAGGAGAGAAATAGAAATTTCCAATTGCAGTCAAGTGGAGAAAGCACATTGTATTCTGTTTCTCTTACTGAATGTAATTTAAAACCTTGGAGAGAGTGAACCCAGGAACCATCTGAGAGTTTTTTGTTTTTTGTTTTTGTTTTTGTTTTTGAGAAAGGGTTAGTTGCTTTATAGCTCAGGCTGGCCTTGAACTCACTGTGAAACCCAGGTTGCCCTCAAACTCACAGGGATCTTTCTGCCTCAGCTTGCCAAGTGCTGGGATTACAGTTGTGCACCACCACACCCAACCTCTAAGGATTCTGAAAAGTAAATGGCAGCAAGATTATAGGAAAAAGAAATCAACAGTTGCTAAGAACCACAAACTCAAGGATGAGTTTCCCACCCTCTATTGTCTCTTAGCCTGGACTGAAAAGTAGCTTGTGCATTTTGCCCAGTGCTATAAATATGGTTGATACTACTAAACTGCACCCTTAAAATGGGCTGGGGTTGGAGCTCAGTAGTACAGCACTCTCCTAGCATGTGCAAAGCCCTGAGTAATAGATCAAATAATTACTACAGTAGACTTTGTAATTTTTGTTTTATTTTTGTGGTACTGATGCCAGGTGCCCTGGGCAAGCCCAGCAAGTGCTCTAACCCTGAGCTATAACCACAGCTTTGATATTTTATTTTGACATGGGGTCTCACTAAATTATCTAGTTTGGCCTTAAACTCGTGATCCTCCTGCCTCAGCCCCAGAGTAGCTAGGATTACAGGTGTGTAGCACCACAACTGGCTTTATGGCTTTGTTTTGTAAGTAAAGGAACAGCATATATTATAACCATGACCTAAGGGGGAGAAGGAGACATAAAATGAATAAAAAGAGAGTTTCAGCAGAGAAGTACAAGTTATAAAAAAGAACCAAATGGGGATTTTACAGTTGAAAAATAGAGTAAGAAGAGCAAAAATGTCACTAGATAGGCTCAGTAGCAGAATAGAAAGCACACAGAGTCGCAAAACAAAAATCTGAGATGAGTTAAATTTAGCAAAGTGAGAATATAGAATTCTAGGAGAAGCACTGCAGACCACAGATGGCTCAGAAGGCCTCCACCAGTTTGGGAAGCTGTATTCATAATAATAAAAAAACAAAACAAAACAGGAAGTGACACACAGCCCTAATGCTACAGCTCTACATTGTATCACACAGCATGTTTTGACAGCCTTTAGCCTGTGATTGGCTGAGGGTTTGGCTACTGTGATTGGCTGAGAGTCAGTTGCTTGGTTACCATGTATACTCTCAGGTTTAGTTTTTTTACACATCAAGACAGGTTACAGTTTACAATGCTCAGAGGCAGTACTAGGTCAAACAGTATGACACAAGTAAAGAGACAAGTTTGGGCTAAACTGCATTCTACTTAATGGTATCCAATCTGAACAAGAAAAAAAAATGGGGGAAAAAAAAAGAAACAGCATCAAGGACCCAGGGAACAATATCAAATGATCTTACACTCATGTCATCAGAATTTCACAAGGAAAGGAGAAAAGATACTTGGCACAGAAAAAAAATTTTGATAAAATAATGGCTGAAAATGTCCAAATATGGCAAAACACATACATTTACAGAACCAAGAAGCTCATCAATCGCCAAACAGTAAACAGAAAGAACTCTACTCCAATGTATTATAAACTACTGAGAACTAAATGAAACAGAACCTTGAAAACAGCCAGAGAAAAACCATGCACTACCTATTAGAGAAAAACAATTAGAATAACTGAGGGTTTCCCATCAAAAACCATGGAGGGCAGCAAGGTAATGAATCAAAAATTTTTAAAGTCATGAAAGAAAAGAAGAGAGAACCTGGAATTCCATATGCAGTGAAAAAAATCCTTCAGGAATGAGAGTGAGCTAAAGGCATTCGTAGAGGAGGGAACCCTAAGAATATTTATTATCAGCACACATGTTGTAAATACTAGAGGAAGTTATCCAGGCAGAAAGGAAATTGTAACATAGGAAAATTAGAAATATCAAGAATGAGGGGAGCTGGGTGTGATGGCGCACGCCTGTCATCCCAGCACTCGGGAGGCTGAGGCAGGAGGATCTCTGTGAGCTAGAGACCATCCTGGGCTATGTAGTGAGTTCCAGGTCAGTTTCGTTTACATAGTGAGACCCTGTGTCAAAAAAACCAATAAATAAATAAATAAATACCCAATCCAAAAATGGGCATCTGAAATGAATAGATATTTCTCAGATGAAGTAGAAACAGCAAATAAATATATGAAAATGTTTAACCTTGCTGGTCATTCAAGACATG